TTCTATTTAGCTCAAACCAGGACAATCATGTACATTTCTTTCCTGTTTGCTTCTTTCTCCTTATTCACCATCTAAGGCAAGTTAGCTGTAAGTAAGACAAATTGCAGGTTTTGGAGGGCAGAGGGAAGAAGCTACCTTGTTTTCACATTGTGTTGAAATGAAAATAAGATGAGAGAGACCTGTCAGCCCCAGTTATCAGTGGCTCCTGGCTTGGACATGTTCTTACAGTGTAGGTAACCATCTCCTTGTTAGTCCTGCTTGAGTTGCTTTGCAGTGTTCTCCCAGGCTGCCCTGTCAGTGAATACCTCATGTGCTGCTTTGAAGAAATATGGCCGTTCCTAAGAAAATTTTGTACTGTTGTAAACAATGTTCCCCTTTTTTCCTGGCAAGTTGAAAGACATTGCCTGAATGAAGTACTCTAAAGTTCATAGCCTATAAGATAAATGCTAATAGAGTAGTTCAGCAAGAAGTGGGCAGTTTTCTTTAAGTAGTAGTTCTTTCTGTAGCAACAGGTAAGAAACAGATTCCTGAATCTTTTACAAAATACCACTATGTATAGTGTTAATGTAATTTTATTCTGTAACTTTTGCAAATTATTCTTTGTGGCAAACCATTTTTCAGTGGCTATCTTCCAGATTTGCTGAGGCAGTTAACGTGACTCAGAACACTGTATAGGTCTTTTAATTGCGCTGATAGGGTGCCTTGAAGCTAGATTGGAAATACAGATCCTCCCCCCATGTTGGACTGCTATTAAACACTCAGAATCTTATTCTAATTAGGGATCACCTTTTAATTATTAGCTATCTTTAATTCTTGGATGTTATGAATTATCTTTGTTGCAAGACCATTGGAAACACTCCATCATAATTTGCTTTCAGAGCTTAAATATTATGACATTACATACAGTATTTGACAGTGATTCATGTACTCTCTGGCAATCAGTTTTATCTTGCAATTGATAAGAAATAGACTGAAGATACACAGTCACAAATTTTTCCCAAGCCCAGCTTTATTCTCGTATCCTGTGCACCAGGTGCATGTTCCATATCACCCTCCACTGTTTTCCACCACAATTTGTGCTTGCAGTGCCCAGTTTGGAGCTCCCCGATGCAGGAAATACATTCATAAGCTGGATGGAGTCCAGTGCAGAGCCCCTAGGATGATCAGAACTAGGGCACATGGTCTATGATGAGCTGCATCTGCTCAGCCTTGGGAGGAGAATGGTAAGGGGGAGACCTTATGGCTGTCTACAGCTACACAAGGAAGAATATAGAAAAGACAGAGACAGACTCTTCTCAGAGGTTCACAGTGATAGATGAGTGACACAAATTAAAACACAGAATGTCCCAATTAGGTTCAAGGAGGAAAAAAAATCAGAGTGATCAAGCACTGGAACAGGTTTTCCAGAGAGTTTGTGGAGTCTTTAGGCTGTTCAAAACTTGTCAGGAGAAGGTCCTGAGCGACCTGATCCAGTGGGACAGGCTTTGGGCAGGAGGCTGTAGAAAGGTGACTTCCAGAAGCCTCTTCCAGTCTGAACAGTTTTGTTACTCAGTGAACAGTTTGTGAGTAGTATCCTGAAGTTTCTGTCACAGCAAGCATGCTGCTGTCAGAAGTGTTATACCAACATGCATAAAAATTGTTGCTGTTCTCCAGTAGAGATGGGAGTCAAGCTATTTATTCATCATTTACAGAGAAGAAAGGGGGTAAGGGTTGTAACTGCTAAGGAAGTGCCTTGATCCCTCTTGCTTCCTTTAGGTTCCTCCATCTCCATCTCTTAGACCAAGCGCTTTTATGGCAAAGTACAAATGTCTTGTATTTATACAGAACTTCACACAATGAGCCATGATTTACGATGCTGCACCTGGACACAGCACACACAAATAGGGGAAAAGATGTGGAAAAGCTAGAGAGATCTGTGGCCACAATGGGAGACACTGGCTGGAAGTTCCTTCTTTCTATTCCTTTTGGCTCTAAGATGTTAACGGGTTTTTTTTCTCCCTATAAGACAAGAACTTTTTAGAGAATTTGAGAGAAGAAAAGAGAACCTTAAAAAAGAGGGCTAACTGGAAAATTGGCATGATTCATGGCAATATAGTCATTATATATAATCACCTGAAATATCATCCACCACACACAGTGTCAACCATCTACATGGTTTCTGGAGAGGGAGTAATTTCCAGGTAGTATTTAATTCTTCCATTTTAAAATGGGATCCATCCTTCTCTGAAGATGCCAGAACATCTATCAAGAAAAGGGGCAGCCTGAACGTTTAGCTAGGTCTTTATGCATGACATTTAGCTTAATTTGAGATGAGCCCCACTCACACTGCCAGGTGTTAATACTGATTTTCTAAGAGCCTGCAGAGCAGAACATACTCATACACTGAAATAATAAAAATGATTTCAAGAAATCTGGCATGAGGTATTTTCGTGGTAATTTCTGCCTTTATCATTTTATTTGAAGCATGGTCTGACAGTGATTCATCTTGCAGCTTGGACTGGAAATCTGGATATAATGCGAAAACTAGTTAAAGCGGGTGCTGATCAAAAGGCTAAGAATGAGGTTTGTTGATGACAATTTTTTACCAACATGCTTATATTGGAAAAAAATCAGACTTGTTCTTACAGAGTCACTTATGGTTTTTCAGGAAGGAATGAATGTACTGCACTTTGCAGCTGAGAACAACAATGTTAAAATAATTGATTATTTTCTCCAAGATCTCCATCTGTATGACTTGAACAAGCCTGATGGGGTACAGTATGTTTCTTTCTGTTTATTTGTTTGATGTCCTGAGGCATCTCTTGTGGGTAAAACAATCTTGACTTGGGAAATTTTAATGAATTTTCATTTATTGCCAAATATGTAAGATTTTAATTATGGATTTGGGTATTGAGAAATGAGTAAGACAAGCAGCCAGACAAGCATTTGGGGGAAAATACCTTTTGTCCCTCTTTGCCTGCCTCTGCTGAGCTCCAGACACCTCTCCTTCCCTGCTCCCCTTGGTTTTGACACATGTGATGCCGAGTCCCATCAGTGAGTTGATGGGAGGCAGAGGAGGTTGGGATCAGTCCACAGTAGTTTCCTTTTTTTTTTTTCCTGCTCTTTGTTTCTTTGTTTTAACCTCTGGTACAGAAAGGGTTCTTCCATGGACTGCAGTCACCCTGCGGGTGTACTTCCTCCTGTGCCTCCTCCCTTGTGTCCTCTCATGTCTCCTCCTCCATCTCGCCTTGTGCTTCCTCCCTGTAGCAGTGACCACCCTTTCTTCAATATATTTTCACAGAGGTATCATGTGCTGCTCTGATGGGTTGAGTGCTGGCATGTGGTGGGTCAGTTTTGTCCATTGTGGAGCCAGCTGGAAGTGGCTCTGACCAGCATAGGGCAGTCTCTGACATCCTTCCACACAGCTCACCCCTGCAGCCCCCTGCCTTTACAAAAACCTGCCAGTTATGGCCAACATGGGCATATTTCACCAGCTTAGAACATAAGACTGTGTGCAGCCAAACTACAGAGGTGCACCAACTCTGCAGCAGTGCCAGGGCCTTGTTCTTGTTAGGTTTGCTGTGTTTTTAACTTTTCTTCCTACAATGTTGGGATCTTGCTTTGAAGGCTTACTGAGCTAAGTAGGATATTTTGTCTTTGCATGAGCTCCCCATCCTTTTTTTCAAGTCTTGAATTGTATTGACCCAATGGAACAAAATTCTGAATTTCTTCTACACATGACAAGGCTGGCAAAACAGAGTTAATTTAACAATCCAAACCTTTGTGGTTTAGGCCTTGGGAAAGGAAAGGTGAAGAATAATCTTCTTTGTGTAGAGGTTATTACATACTTATCTATTAGTTGCTTGCATTTTTTTCTTAGACATTTGATGTAGGCCACTATAAGACTACCGCTGTCTGACCAGTGGTATGGTTTTATGCCAAGATAACTTTCTGCAGTTGAGTTGTAAACAGTTGGAAAAATTTTTGTTAGTTTAGGCACCACCAAAAAAAGCCCCAAAATGTACAGCAGTAAATTCAGGCCTCCTGGATTAAACTTCTGAGATACGGTGGTTCTGGTCTGTGCTTGCAGAATTCAGATCGAACTTCTTATGCCATGGAAGTAAATCTTGCAATTTCACTACTGCCTGTTTCTCAGCATCCTCAGACTTTTAAGGAAGCAGTTCTTTTGAAAAATATTTTCATACTCAGAAAAATTAAGAATTAAATATTTTTAGCATGTGTTTTACCTTGTTACTGTTTCCAAACAGTTTTCAAATATTTTCTTCAGGTCATGCAAGATGTATAATCTGTTTTGGTTTTTGTTTGTTGTTTTTTTTTACACTAAGTAAACATAGCATCTTTCAAAAATTCTTACTCTTCTTGTATATATCTACCTTTTTGTTGCTTTACTTAGTCATATGACATACACATTTTTATGCAGAACATACATACATGTATGCATGCCATATATCTAGCAACTGGAAGCAAAGTATTTTTACTATCAATAACCCTGTGTTTCTTTCCATAATTGTTTTCTAGAAAGGTAAAAAGCCATTTCTTCTGGCATCTGAAAAAGGCCATGTTGACATGATAAACAATTTGATTACTCTGAAGCTGTTTACATCTGAAAAAGACAAGGTAAAGGTTTCTTTTCCACAGACATACACTTGAAACTGTGCTTGTTAAGGTTACTTTGTTTCCATGTAGTTACTACAAAACAAGGCGATGTGAGTAAGCTGTTCAAATGTCACATTGGCAGCGATACACATTGGCCTAACAAATATACAAGGAGGATGGTTTTTCAGTAATTAAGGGAGGACAGTGGAACTTCTGTTCTTACAGTGCAACCTGGAGTTCTGATATGCTAAGTAGTTTATCAGCAGCATTTACGTAACAGTGTTGTCCCAGACATCTAACAGGCTGAATGTGTAAAGCAGCAGTGATTGGAGTAATGCTGTGATCCTAAAATTACATAAGGAGGCAGGGCAGCACTTTGTCTCATGGGTCACCGAAAGCAATCACACTGTAACCATCAATTAACAAACATATCTTCTCCTGGAATGTATTTGGATTTTCTGCCCAAAATGCAGAAATACCTCCGCAATGCTCTGACCTTAAAACTGTTCTGGACCCTCATTTCTTTGATGGTTAGGATCATCTAACTTCCTCTTCGGTTTTATTTGCTTGCTGGTGTGCTGTTTTTCTTTCTTAATTATCTGTCAAGGAATTGTACTGATGGTGAAGAAGGTTGAAGGTTGTAATGTTGGGATCAAAGCCACTACACATCTATATGTACTTAACTACATTTTGGCTGTTTCTCTTTAAATTGGTGCTCTTGGAGGCTTGATGTCTCCATCCTTGTAGGAAACAGGGCTCAATTTTTTCTTCTGATTCATTCTTTAGGAGTTAAAATTTTAGGTCTTTTTCACTGGTAATACACTGCAGTTTTCAGAATATGAGAAAACCAACTAGACCAAGGTCATGTCTGCATACGTATGAAAAGTTTTCTTTCAGATTGGTTTGAATCTTGGAAAATACTACGTGAATCTGCCTGATCCTTCTCCTATGTAAAAGAGGGATGGAAAGACCAAAAGCTTTGTGTTTGAGTGCATGTTGTTTTTACTTAATGTTTCTACTTTATTCTATTTTATTTTTAAAATATCTTATTTGACATTTTAATTTCAAGGAGGGAAACACAGCATTGCATATAGCAGCCAAAAATGGTCACAGCAAAGTCGTAGAAATTCTGCTCGAACAGTGGGAGCAAATTAATGATGTCAATCAGGTAAGGACACAGAAATTAATGAGGGAGATAAAGTTAAAAAATTGAAAACGCAACTCAAAAATAGCATTTTAAAGGAATAAATGTTGCACTGAGTAGACTTCATTAGTCCTGCTGCTTTTCTAGTACCTTTGTGGCCTGTTCTGTTGTCCCTCCTCTAATAAATTCAGCTTCATTAACTCCTTCAGGTCTCTTCCTCTGTCCTCTGCTTCTCACACAATAGCCTCCCCTCTGTCTTATATGTCCTTGCATAACTACTGGTAGAGGAAACAGGAGGGTCCAGCTTCCACCTTACTTCCTGTCCACATGATCCCATTCTTTTTACCATCTCTGCAGCTCTTCAGGCTGATCCAGTTCAACATGCACACCCAGCACATACCATCACAGGCTCCTTAGCAAAGTGGTGTCAGATTTGTACCACCTGATATGAAATGTCTGCACGGAACTGGCTACAGACACTGTCTACCCACTTTTTCTTTCCCGGGTTTGTGTTGGTGAGCTCAATCAGCACAGTTATAAATTGCATACTAGCTGTGAAGGTTGCATCCCAGAGTTGATGTGCTCATGAGCTTAATTTTAAGGCTTAAATTAGGGCTAGTGGAAAGAAATGCACACTAACTACTCAACTCAGTGTTCTTGATTTGCAAGGGGTCCTTGCGTCTTCTGTGTGGCAGCTGTAATGAACTGGGCAAGTTAATTCACTTTCTTGTGGGCTGCCACGCCCATTGCGGGAACCTACCGTACGGTTGATGGTCTGTTCTGCTGGCCCAGCAGGCAAAATGAGTAAGGAACACCCACTCCTAGACAAGGCCCTCCTCTGCCTTAGTCAGCAACAGATTTATGGATCAAAGGGTTTTCTCTTATCCAACTTCTCATTTCCAGATGTGCAGGTCTGGAGATGTGAAGCCTTCAGGTTTCCAAACCTGGTCTAACAACATTGCTTCTGAACACCAAGCTTGTACTGCTTGTGCCCCTGCCTTGCTATGGCTAGTGGTGTGTCCTGCTGGAAATGCTCTGGTCTGTGGATAAACAGCATGAGCAAAGCACTAAAATATATTAAGCTTACCAGACTAAAATGTAGCGGAAGTTTAAGGAAAGAAAGTTCAGGATTTATTGATGCTTCTGTGAATACCGAAACACTAGAGTAACTTTCAGTAAACCTTTGTGTATTTTAGGAGTTGAGAAGCAGGGATTAAATAGTTGTGCAGCTGATGTAATTTATTTTGAGTCTTGTTGTGGAGACTTTTTTGGGGTGAGATTTGAAACAAATATGTAACAGGATTATTTCTGCTTGAAGCACTCCTTATAACTAGCACTGCAGTTGGGAATTAGTCAGAAATCCATGGCATTGAACTGACTGAAATTGGTACTTATGGTATGTGCTAGCATGCTAGTGGTGTTGCCTGGTGTTGAATGGCAGCAATTTCTACCCACCGTCTTTGTTTCTCTGCCTGTTGCTAGCAATCTTCTTTGAACAGAGCATGGGTAACATTTATTAAATAGTTATCTGTGTTGTAAACCTTAACGTACATCTGTCCACACAAATGTCACATGTCACTTAAGTGTTGGTAAGTTACCATTTCATTTAAGTGTTAATTTAGGATAATTTAGATTGTGTTCTTTTGTGACCATGTCCCCTTTTCTGTTGAGCTGGATGAGTCTGATTGAACTAACCTGTTTTGTGTCACAGCCTTATAGTCAAGTGGTTGAAATTGGAACAGACGTTTTCTCTTTGTTGGTCTAGAATGGAGAAACACCATTTTATTTGTCTGTCAAAGGAGGTCATGAAAAATGTGCTGAACTCTTACTGGAAGCAGGGAGTTACATCAATGTTTTAACTCACGTATGTACACACTCTCCCTCCAGCACACAGGTACTGGGACATCCTCGGTTGTGGGAAGGACCTTATCTTCTTTTCTGTGTGTACTAACAGTATATTTGCTCTCCTTGGTAAAAAAGGTAAAAAAAGAAATCAATTAATAAAATAGAATTGGGAATGTTGAGAGTGCTAACAGAATAAAACTGATGTGGAAGAAATATAGCATAAATTTATTTGACAGAGTACTGTGATAGAGCTTTTTTATTTACTGTATGGCCAATAGTAGAACATACGACTAGGACATGTAAACAGCTAGGGTAATTCAGAATCCTCATTTTTGGCAGCTTACATGACTAAACTTATGAGAAACCTGTTCTCTACATCTGGTTCCTGGACTCCAGTCCAGCTCACATCTGTTGAATGCCTTGACTTGCCTGCTGTGAGAAGTTTTTGATTCCAGGGGACTGAGAGCTTATTTGTTTTAGCAGCATTTTCTGTTGATGTATTCTTAGAAGTTTGTTAATGTGACTGTACTTGCTTGTTAAAGGGCAAACTGAACGAACAGATTAGGACTGATGTTGGCTTTGTTGTTGCCTATGGTGCAGGATGGCTGACAATGCTGATTTATCTCTTTCTTAAGAGAGATTGAAAAGGACTGTCAAATACTGGTGCTTTTAGCATGTCCATTGTGATATAGTAGAAATGGGAAGTCCCAAATACCAAAGTATTTACAAAAGCACATCACACTAACAGCTGCTCCACTTCATTTTATAACATTTTATGAAAGGGAGAGGGTTTTTTTGGGAGGGGATAATAACACAAATTTAAATGGAAGGTTATCTGGTATTGATAGCTCTGTTTAGTGCTGTTTTTCCAGCAACTAAAATGTCAGTTTTTGCGGTCCATAACATTTCTTTCAGAACAGCAGCAGTACTTTGCAGATTGCAATTCAGAATAGACATCTATCCTTGGTCACTTTCCTGATTGATAATAATATTGACCTGGTCCCTAAACCCAAGGTGAGTGTATAGCAGTATAACTGTTCTGCTGCTCTTCAGGATGTCCTGTCTCTTATGACCTTCTTTGGGAATACAGGCAGCTGAATGACACTGACTAGTTCCCTTTTTTTTTTTCTTTTCCCATAAAATTGTAAATTAGGTTTTGGAAACATTTCCAGTGCAGCTTTGCATAAAAGCTTGCTTTATTTTTCTGTTGACTTGAAGAAATGGCTGTGGGTTAGAAAGACACTAATGAACTGCTGTCTGGCACTGGTGAATGGCACTGCTATGAAATTAATTTTTACCTGTATTTAACAAGAAATTGATGGGTCAAATGTTCAACATGCAAAGTGATCTTTCCAATCTAATAGTTAGATTGTGACTGGTGTTGGACCTGTGCCCCAGTTATTTTCATGAGTAATCACTTAAATAAAAAAACCCTTAATTTCTTTCTAGCTGTAATTTGCTTTTTATAAATATGACAGTAAGTCAGTTTAGCATGAAGACTATTTCCAGCAGCAATATGTGACAAGAGATTATTCTTGGAAAGTGGATTTTGACTTCTGTTTACCCAATACAGAATTAATCTGTCTCCAGCCTATTCAACTAAGGGCAAATCCAATTTTCTGAGAGAACAGAAGTATTTCCCTAGCCTCTCTATTGTCAGCCAAGGTTAGTGGCACACCCCAGGTATGGATATGTAAAAGGAGTGCCTTGCCACGTTCCTAAGTGGTGACACTGAGTGCACCCCGTGCACTCAACGTTTTCAGGTTTCTCAGCTGTATTTACCTGCTGCTGTAGATGTTGCAGGCTTCCATTCCTGTCATAACTCCGCGCCTCAAGGTGTGCTTACTGCAGTCTTGAACCTCTGCTAGACTGTATCATATTTGCAAGGGGTGGATTTTAATAAGAACTTCTTTCTTTGTTTCAATGAACTTCTAATAATGTACCAAAGTATAATAGTTTATTATTTTCCCTCCACAGCAGAAGAATTCTCCTCTCCATTTAGCAGTCATCCATAATCATCTACCAGTAGTAAAAAGTCTCTTGGATGCCAATCATGATATAAACTCTTTAAATCACGTAAGAAAAACTGGTAATTGACATAACTTCACTGGTAAGGACAAGATTACAGGGATTTTGCTTGAAATATTTTTGTTCTTACAAGCTCAGGCTACAAAGGAATAGGAAGAAAGAGGCAGTTCCCTCCTTATAGTTTTGTGTGTATATTCATATATTAGTCACTGATACATGCTGTGCTAGTATTGTTTCTGCAAGATAAGGATAGAAAAATGCTATATAATCAGAAAATTTTTGGATTAATTTATTGTTTGAGTGTTACAATTCATGCATAAAAAGTGACAGAAATGTCTCAGTGGTATTGATCTCAGAGGGCAACCCAGTGCAGAATGTCACTTGGCTGGAATGGAGTTAATTTTTGTCATAGTAGCCCTTATGGTGTTCTGTTTTAGATTTGTGACCAAAATAGTGCTGGTAAGGCATCAGTGTTTTAGCTGTTGCTGCAGTGTTTGCATAGTACCAAGGCATTCTATGTTTCACAGTTTGCTCCTCCAGTGAATAGTCCAGTGCACAGGGAGCTGAGAGGGGACACAGCCAAGCAGGTGACCAGAGCTGACCAAAGTGATGCTCCACACCATACAACATCACACAAGAAATAATGTCATAGGTCTCTGTGGTACAATTGGTTAGAGCATTCAGCTGTTAACCGAAAGGTTGGTGGTTTAAGCCCACCCAGGGATGCCAGTATCTGTTTGCCCCGCGTTGACCAGAATTGTTTTGCCTCTGCTTGGAGGCTGCATCGGTTGTTGGCCAGTTTGCTGTAGACCACCTCCACCACTGCTAATCCCCATGGGTACTGGGTATCTTACACTGTGGAAGGCCAGAAGATGTGTGATGCATTTACTTTTGTGCTGGCTTGATTGATCCCTTTTTTTTGCTGTATGGAACCCGCTTGTTAATACAATTGGCCCCTGCCAACTGAGCTGCCAGCTGGCGCTCTCAAAAGAGAAAGAGAGTCTCCTGCTCAAGGAGTACAAAAAGGGATGCTAAGAAGGTCTGCTGATCTAAAGCCATCCATATGGACACTGAGAAGGTCACTTAATCTGAAGTCACATGGAATGGTTTAACCCAAGACTCTACCCTCAAGTATAATAGTTGCTTCTCCTGTACTTAAGCAGAAATGTGGAAGGTGGATGTCAGCTTGGTAAGAGAAGCAGAAGCTCCTGCTGAGGTGTGGAAGGGGGAAGAGTCAGAAGAGGCAGCCTGGCCTGCAGCAGAACAGGAGAGGGAAGAGACCGGAATGACAAAAGAGGCAGAAACTACCTGGTCCCTATCCCTGCACAATCTACAAGATAGGCAGCAGGATGAGGGAGCCCAGCAGCTGGCGTTCATCTCTACGGACTGTGGAACTGACAAACGGATCAGAAGGGAGGCAGTGACCTGCAAGTCTCTGGAGGTGGATCTCATCGAGCATGCAGGCACTGTATCTCCTCAAAGATGTTGTAAACCAGAAAGGCAAGTAGGCTATCATAGAAGAGGGTATCCAATATGTGAGGGTGTTAATGGAGGTGGTCTGCAGTGATCTCGCCAAGAACCAGACTTCCAAAGATCCAGATGACATCCAGTGCTCGTAGTCTGTGTGGCAGAAGTTTGTACAGAGCTCATGTATTTTGTTCACTGGCAACTTGGCCTTAATGAACTGGGCAGACATTGGGGCACCAGCTGTGTATAGACCAGCCTGCCAGCTGTGGTGCTTCAAAGAGAATCTCCTTTCCCCTCTTCACTGCTCCGACATCTCAGCTGTGGCAACAGTGTCCCACCTGTTCTGTCAACAATTCTGCCCACATTGGGCACTGGGGCTCCCTGCTGGGAAATACACCTTGTTCTCCTGTGTGACAGGTGAGGATACTCCCCACAACAGTAACAAGGACTGGTCTTTGAGAAATCTGTAGTTTGCCCCTTCCCATTGAACATGGTATTGCTAAAGATTAATTTATACACATTTTTGTAGGAGGTAGAGACAGTAATTTGTGACTGGAGTGAAGTATGATAAGCTCTTCTGTCATGAAGTAGACAGTTTTGTAAACTTCTTGAACACACCTTTTAGAAAAGTTTTGTGCTTTGTCTCTAGCATGTCTGAAGTTACATATAAGAGCTACATACGTGTCTCTAAATTACTGCGGAAAAGAAAGTAGGATATCTTGTTGGGGGGGAATTTATGAGCTCATGTGATCATAGTAATCAGCATTTCCCAAAAAGACTGATTAGAGAGTCGGATGTGGAACCCTGCAGCTGGTGTTTCTTGGTCTTGGTGTTTGGCTCTGGAACCTTTAAGATCTGAAGGCCAAAAATGTTCTCTAACCAGACATACAGAATGTAGCTTTGCAACATCAGACAAGCACAAGCACAAAACCTTCAACTTAAAAGGCTGCTGTGCCACTTGAAACATGCTAAGAGACACACCCAGATAAGCAGGGCTTCCACAAATGACAACATATCTTATTTTTTGCTGCATTACACCCACAGACATCTGGAATGTCTTATTTTAATATTCTGTAGAAGGATAAATAAATAAATAGGTTTTCTTTGGGTACATGCAGCTGTGTAGAGACTACACAGTTCTCATTTCAGACCCAAAAATTAGATTTGAAGCTGAGTTCCCCTTTAGGTGTACTTCTTGTTAATGGTTTGGTTTTATTTAATGCCTTTTTCCCTCTCCTTTTGTGTGTGTGTGTGTGGTTTAAGGTACACTGAACCCATTATAGAGCAGGTAGACTTCTGCTATGTATCCTCGTTTTGTGGCAGGGCTGGTTAACAAATCCCATTGTCGACTGTGGCACGACGTACTGTTGAAAATGATGGGTGAACAGCTGTCTCTGCATGAATTTCAGCAGGGAAAACATTACTTGAGAGGATAGTATGGGTGAGGGTTGGCAGTTGCATGGAACACTCTGTCCAAAACACCTTGTTGAAAGACGGAAGAGAGAGCGCTCATTAGGTTGCAGAACATTAGAGGGGCAGTGCAAGACGACCACAGGACTCCGAGACAACTCTATAAGAGTTATAAATCGAAGACTTTTATTTTATCAGAGGCTGCGCTTTTATAGTCCAAAATCCCTTAGTCACGCTACATAAGCATTTCTATTGGTTACATATATGTGTCCATATTATCTAAGCTAATACATGATTGGTTACTATCTTACATGTCACCGCCCACATCCAGGTCAGGTTGGTTTACTTCCGCTTCCCGTTGGTTTACTTGTGGGTCGTTCTCTTGCCGCATCGTCGTACTTTCTTTTTCTTTAACCCTGTGTCATCTTAAGGCGGTCTTTCTAAATTACAGAATTCTTAAGGTGGTGATTCCAAGCCATAGAACTCTATATAATCATATCCATTTTAGTTCATGAAGACTCCAACAGGGCAGGACAGCAATGTCTCCCTGAGCCAGCTGGAACTCCTGCCTGGTTTTCCTCCAGAGAACCCAGATGCTCTCTTGTTTGCCTGAAAAAAACCTGGCAGTTAGATCACTCAAAAGTTAAACGATTTAATTCTGTTTGATGTTTTCTACTCAAGGCCATCTCTTGTAGTGAATCTTCTGTAGACTGAGATTGTGAGCACTTTGCTTCTAAGAGGGAGTCTGGCTAATTGTATTCATTTGGTGTCTTTAATTCCAGAGGCAGGAAACCCCTTTACATTTGGCAGCTGATCTTGGCAATGTGGAGCTGGTGGAAGTGTTGCTGAAGGCAGGCTGTGATCTCAAGACCACGGATAAGGTAGATTGCATTCCTCAGCCATGAAAGGATTATGTGATTTTATTTTTTGTTTTATAACCTTCTTCCTAGAGATGGAAGAAGCACTTGTTGCCAGTTGTCTTTCCTAGCTAAAGCTAATTGTTAGTTTTTACAAAGGAAGTTTCTTTTTAATATTGCCACAAACCTGCAGCTTGCAGAGATCTGAAATGGTTTTAGTGAAGAGCTGTAAAACTTCCAAGCTCCATAATTTGAAGGGTACACCCTGCTGCCAGAGGCCTCTGATCAAAAAAAAGACCAGGCTTACGGAGCGGAAAACAGTCAGTGGCTGTTTTAACTGTGCACCCACAGTTCATTGCCAGGAGAGGCACAGGCACTGCCAGCTTCACTAATAGCAGCGATAGTGAGTGTGGCCTTTGGGATGCTGGGCCATCTGGAAATGATGATGCTGTGTTCCTAGGAAGCTGTCCCAGATCATTCAGGTCGGTGCTTAGACCCTGTTGCTGATGTTCAGCCTGGAAAGACTGAGGTAAGGCATGGCAATGGCTGGAAGAAGTACCAAAGCAAAGAGTCTCCAGGGAAGTGCTTTTGAAAAGTACCAAATCCAGTTTTTAAAACTTTTGCTAAATTCCTGCAAGATTAAGCTTCCCCTTTTTATGCTGTTACCATTATATTGTTTCCTGCTTGACTCAAATGACAGATTTTATGTTTACCATGGAGCAAAATGTAGCTTATTAGTTGTTTTAAAAAGTAATTTTCATGCACAAAACTGTCCTGATGAGAGGTAAAGCTTTATGGACTAGGATCATCCCTTTTTTCTCTAGCCTGATATGAGGCTTAGGGCTGTGAGTGCAGGTAACATGGCTGATGTGTTTCAGGAGGCTGAGGTAAGATGTTGCATTGCAGTTAAGCCTTCCCATTCTGAGTCCTGCCTACAGTAGCTGGAGAGCTGCAGTTCTCATATGGGCTAACCCAGAATGAGGTCTTGTCCGCTGTAGACAGCGCCTTAGCCATTGGAAAATTGTCTCTATCTATTTGTATGCCAAAGGCAGGCACAAAAAATTACTTCTTATTGCCAGTTTTGACCTTAAGCACCTGCAAGCCTTTGGGCTGGATAGTGCCCTGGTATTACAGCAGTGTTGACAGAGTTCAGGGCATGTTATGAGAATATGGGTCTGAGCCAGCACAAGTTCTGCTTTTATTTCCTGGAGTAGTTTTTCCCTTGCCTGCTTGCTGAATGACCCCTGATGCCATGCCACTGCTGGGAACATTTGCAAGTACAACCCTCTTTGAACCAAGTTAGTGCTGAGATACCAAAAACGTTCCTCACTGAACAGTAAGCAGGGAGAAGGGGAGGCTGCTTTAATTGTACAGTGTTTTCCTGGTCTCTGTCCTCCAGCAGCATAAGTCCTCAGCCTCAGGAGCATGTCATGCATCTGTGTGAGTTGCAAGCTGTTACAGCTCAGGAAATGCTCTCTTGGAAGCTCTTCCTTTCTGCAGACAAAATTGTCATTGCTTGTGATAGTGCAAAGTGCTCCCTGTATGCTAGACTGCCATGCTACATGTACACGTAGGTTGCCAGCAGTGTCTGCACTAGCACAGGAGGGCAGAAAACACCCCCTTTACCCACCCCTCCATCTCCCTGTGAAATGCAGAGCACCTTTCCAGAGATGGGACCCAATGATGTCTTGTGGTCTCTGGACTCTTCACATATAAAACATGTCTGTGCTATAAAGATCTTGTGAAATACAAATGCCTTGGCTTCCAATGTGATGTTTTTCTGAAAACAGGCTAATTAGAATGATCTTGAGCAGAGTGAGGAGGTAGAACTCAAAAGGTATATATTAGGGAATTTTTTAATAGCTGGAAAGTTGAAATGCCTTATGATTTAATTACTGAACTTTCTAATTAAGGGGTTGGCTTCTTTTAAGTCTAATTTTCTAGAACACCTAGCACTTGATATGTGGAGAATACCCTGAATATTTAAATCAGAAGCAGTTCCACTCAGTCCAAGTCTGCTGAAAATAGACAATTGCAGACAGAACCCTGCAGAGCCACTGAGGTGCCTTTACATCAAAGTACTGATAGCGGAGATGGGCTCAGATAGACTGAGCAGTCCTCTGAAGCTGGAATTAAAGCAATGGCTTTTAATTCCCTTGGCTGCCTGTAGTACCCATGAAACATCACCTTCAGTTTTGCTCGCTTCAGTTGTCATGAGAAAGTCATTCCCACACCCTCTTTTAATTCTGTGAGCCAGCTTCTTTTACCATCCAAAACAAAACACAGGTTCGCCCTTAAAGTTGGAGGTTTCCAACTTTGCCAGCCTATCCATCTGAATTGCCAGTTTAATCATAACATGGGAATGAACTGTATCTGTGGTAGTTTTCAGGCTGTGGATGACTGGGCTTGCATGAACTTGGAAGTCGTGACCAGAGAGCGCAAGCTGGTATGAAGTACGCAGCAGTCTGAGTGCAGGTCTCTGAAAGCAGCTGTTCCTCAGAAATTCTTTAGGGGGATTTCAATGTAGAAGAAAATTCACCACCTCTGGACTGAGTGTATACAGCTTACGTAAAGCAGAGAACTTTGATTGTAGCTATCCTCCTGAAGCAATAACATTGTAGTAATATGTTTACTTGGAAAAAAAAAAGGGGATGCAGCTCTGTAAATGAAGCTCCTGTGTTTCTTCTATGATAATCTTATCCTTTTATCTACTATCTCTGGTTTCAGCATGGAAAAACTGCATTAGCTGTGGCATCAAGGAGCAATCATGCCCTCATTGGAGATATGATCATTAAGGCAGAAAGGTATTATGCCATGAAACAGGTAAGAGACATCTTTAGTTACACTGAGTAGAACTGTAAGGGAAAAGCTGATTCTGACATTGGAGTGCCTTTTGCCTGAGGTGGTTCCTTTCGGCAGGCAGCAAGACTGGCCTTGATAAATTGAAGTTAGGACTGGGAACAGGAAGGTCTCTACCCCATCCAGGTTTTGCTCCTGACTAGCTGTAGAATTGTAAGCAGATCACATAGTTTTCCTGCATCTTGCTCTACAAACAGAGATAAAGGGATGGAGAGAAATTCTGACCCAAATAAATCCTGTGCCTTCAGCATCAGGGCTAGGATAACCTGAATCCATGCTGATCTGTGTCTTCTTCAGTACAGCAAATTCTGTAATGGATGACTGCAGGTGGCTTACCACTCCTTTGCTAATAAGAGCTCAGCTGCTTTGGCAGGAGCTCCTTCCTTTGTTTAATGTGTATTAATTATAAAATGCAGTCAGTGAAATTGAAAATAACCAGGCAACAATTGTGAAGGACACAGCTGAGATTGACCTGATTGGATTTTTAACCTTCTTTCTCTAGTTGTTATTTAAATGTAGGCTGCTTAGTTTCTCCTTAAATGGCTGAGTGTCAGAGGTATTGAAGTGATGACAGTCATTTTGGCCCACATTAATTATCCCATGTCACTTATGAATCTGTACATGCTGTGTAAGTGGCAAGTGTCTGAACAAGAACAGCTAAGCTAGTATCTCTGAAAAACAAAGGAGTATTTGGAGCTGGGCTGCTGCTAAGGCCCAGAGACATGCCTTGAAATTCACTCAGCCCAAATGGGTCTTTCTTTGGTTTAAAGGGGAATTAGAAGTGAAGTCATCTATTGCCAGAGAAGACGTAACAAGTCTGACAGCATGAGCCCATAATTCTCCTAACTTCTTAACACTGTTTGCTGAATTGACTGAGGAGAAGAAAAGATGTTTAAGCAGATAGTTTTCTGCAAGAGCTCCACAGATGCTGGGAAATAGAAGCTTAAGTGTTTTTATCCCATTAACTGAAGCTAAAAGTACAGTCTTTGAGAGCAACTTAGATCTTAGTTATGGAATATAACATTGTTCAGGTGGTGTTACCATATAGGAAACTACATTTTTAACCATTATTGTAAGAACTGTTGTTTTGTTACATTGAGCTGACTTACCATCTGTGATAAGGCCTTAGTTACAAAAGGAAATGTCATGTTGCTGTGAGAAAATGCATGATACTAATGTGCGAGTGTCCTGTTCTCCCCCATTTGCCTTTTTTCCTCTTTACTGCTTCTACCTAACCCTGCCCTAACATTGCCCAGACTGTTTTTGACTGGATTTGAGGGCTGCTGTTACTGTCCCACTCTGCCATTGCCCACACAATGAGCAGCAAAGAGAAGCTGTGCTACTGCAAAGGGAGGAGAAAAAAGGGTTTTTCTTGTTTGTTTGCTTGTGGTGTTTTTGTTGTGGTTGGTTTTGTTTGTCTGTCTTCTCTGAGGTTTTTAAACCTCAGAAGAGAAATAGTGAACCAGAGAGTCTGAAGCTGTCTGCCAGAATGTCCTAAATCTTACTTGCATGTGTCAGGAAGCATGAAATACTCTGCACCAGAAAGATGTAATCAAACATACATGACAGTGCTTAGTTATTGAACTAAGATTTTTTTTTCTTGCAAGACTCTCTTATTAGAAAATAACCTTGTTGTATTTTTCCGAATGTAATCTGGAATTGAGTATTTTATGCTTAGCACTTTTCAAATGTGGTATGCTGCCATTTCAATTTTTTTTCTGCTTAGTATCTGCTTTGTAATCCTATATCAACTGTCTGAAGATGTTTTTCACTTTCGAGACTGATTTAAAACAGGACTGGCACATAAACAAAATGAAATATCAATGTGGTCTGAGCATACCTACACTAGCAATGAGGCTTTTCCCTGGGCACCACTCAGCTACGGCTGAAATCACTGCTAGATGTGACTTTTGCAGACATACCTAAACGAGGAGCAACCACATCACTTCACAGTAGCAACATCACTTTTAGTCTGCAAGACAAAATGTTTGCTGTTTTGGTATCTATCTGATTTTGCTCATGCAGGCAATAAAAGTAGATACAGGTTCAATGTGCATGTGCTTATTGGTACTTGGTCTTTGCTGAATGGGGCTCTGCATGCTAAACCCAAAGGCTCATGCTGCCATCAAATGACCTGGTAGTCCCTGCTTCAGCCTGACTGAGCTGACGGGGCAAAGGAAGGAACAGCTTGAGCAAGTGCCATGCAATGCCACCCTCAGGGAAAGGCTGGCACTTCAAGAAGCAAGGGTAAAGTAAGAACTGTGGTTGAAACCCAACCCTGTTCAAAACATGACATATAAAGTAGACAGAGCCAGGTAGTACTGGCATAGTACTTGCTGTTACTTGCTATTGTGTATTAAGTGCCAGAGAAAGAAAGTAGTTTATTTTTAGTTTAGATTAACAAGACATAGCAATAGACACCGGGCTTCGTTTCTGTTCTGCTACTAAGATGGTAGTAACATGTAACATCATCCATGCTAAGACATCTTCCAAAGAGCTCTACTTGCCAAACACGGTTCCTTTACCTGCACTGAGAAAATCACCTCTCAGTAGCTACATGTGGCTGCACAGGACCCAGTGCTCAATGCTTGCTAAGCAAAGGTTCCCAGCTTCAATACAGAATTTATCATCTACTTTCTTTTTCAGGAACATCTACCTCATAGCGATGATGGGTCAGATTTGTGCCTGTCCTTCAAACAGGATCATAGTACACAGACCAAGCAAATCCGTTCCTCCCTGTGGAACCTAGCATACAACCAGTTAAAACCCCAGGAATGGAAAAAAATGGCCCTGTTCTGGAAGTTCACGAATGAACAAATTAAAGCTATTGAAGAACAATGGACAGGTAACAATATCTGAATGACTAAACATAATACCTAAGCGATGAAAGCATATGGCAGAGTTGCTTCTTAAACTGTGTGAATATCAGAGATATACACTGGCGATACTGCTCTTACTTAGATTATGAAAAAGATCAGTGAATGGATACAAGCCTTGTCCCTGGCTCCTGGGAAGCAGTGCTGTTAAGTACAGGCCACTTTGGTTCTCCCTGAAAGAACCTTCATCTTTGAAATAAAAAATAGGAGCAGTGAGCAGCATGGAACAGTCTTGCAGGTCACACTGCAAGTGAGGATCTGGGGAACCTTGTGACAGAGGAAGACCTTGTTCACACTTGTTTTCACATCTGCCAGGAAACAGCAGTTTCTGGTTTCAGAAACTGAGGCACTGGGAAAGCACTATTTCTATAGCACGCACTGTGCTTGTTTACTACTACTCCTGGGTATTTTTCTACATGTTGAGCAAAAATGAAAGGAAAAGATTGATTTTAAGATCTATTAGCTTTGCCCCTTGCTTTACAGTAGCCTTAGGATAAAAGCAGATTATTTTATTTTCTGACCTTTGTAAGTCTCAATCTTCATTTTGCTTCTAGGTGAGAAAGGCAAATAAGAGTAAATAAGTAGGTTTTAAAACCTCTTGGAACTCTAGAAGTGCAAAAGTACAAAATACACTGTTTCCAACATTGGAACAGACAAATGCTTTGTGTATTGCATAGGGGAAAAAAGTTATAAGGAACATGGAAACAGAATGTTACTCATCTGGTTACATGGTACTTTGCTGGCTCATCAGAATCCTGTCAAGCATATCTATGAAAATCTGGTGGAAGCAGGATTTCAGCCTTTAGCTGGTAAGTTGTGCTGTGGCATACAGAACACATTACATTGTCTTCTGTGAGACTGCTGGTGCTGGGTGAAGGTGTGACCATGGTGGAGCTGGAAGACACTCTCTTCTTTTCTGGGAATCCAGCCTTAGTGGGCAGTGAGGGTGCTTGAAAAAGGGAGTTTAAGTGAGACTTGAGATTTCTAAAGGAAGATAAAAATGTGCAAACTCCGTTCTTTGTTCTGCAAACATGTGATTTGCTGTCCTTCACTTAGATTAGTCTGACCTTGTTAAAAGTAGAGCAGTCAAGCAAATGTTTTCTCCTCTTACTTTACAGAGAAGATCAGAGCTGCAAGTAGCACTGGCATGGACTCCAGAAAATGTGCAGTTTCATGAGTGCATTAGTAAAACATGGCACATATGATGGACTTACATGCCAGATGGAAAGTGACTTTCAAATACAAATAATACATTTTCTGAAAATAAAAACCTATTTTGAAGTTGTATGACTTCTTCCAAGCTAGAAGAACTTGCACTCCTAAAATATTGGTTAGTTCTTTCTCGTACCTTTGCTATACAATGATTTAAAGAATTTAAGAGTGAATGGATGGCCGGTAATCTATGACTATACTGCTAAGCAAGAACCACCTCCCTACAATTTCTACATGTGGCTTAGCATTGATAATACTAATTCTGTATTGGAACTGCAAATTAAGGTATTTTGTGTTTGACATGAAATGTAAATGAGATGTTTTCTACCTGAAAGAAATTGAATTTAATAAGTGAAAACTATATGTATAAATCAACACTTCCAGAAATAGTCTCATCTGGGATTCAGGTTTGTATATAGTGTCCCTGTCTGAAAAAGGGCTTTTCTCTTAATTAGTGCTAGCATTAGGACAAGTCTTTGTTCTTCAGCATTTGATTTATGTAGTGAAAACACATGAAATTGTCATGTCTAAAATCATGTGTGGCTGGCTCCAGAATTTTCTATCATGGCATAACTTTCTATACATACTCAAAAAAAAGAACATTTGACATTCAATGTTTAAAACATTTAGCAATTATTTACCTATTTCTTGTTCACGTCTTGAATTAATATTTAGTAGTGTCTTGCTAAACATGTTTAAAAGTTTTCTCAATATTGAATGGATTTCACATCTGAAAAATTTTGTAAAATGTCTATCTTCATAGTCTCTATAAGAAAATAGCAATAGTTTTGTCATGTAATGGAAGAATTGAATTGGCTTGCCTATCTCTATATAGTTAGCATTAATTTGTACTAAATCTTATTGTTTGTGCTAAAAAAATGATGATCCGTATCTTACTCTGAAGTCTTATGCCTGACTGCCCTCTTGTGTGCAACCTGTTTTGACATGGTTGCAAAGCATCAAAGGAATATGAAGAACATACTCGCAAAATCCTCAGGTTTTGGAATTGGGGATCTAAGATCACATCAACTTCTGCAACATTATCTTGAAAAATGAGAATATTTACCAATCTGATGGACTCAGTACCTCACCTCGCCCAGGTCGCATCCTGGGTGTGAAGACTACCACCCTGTTACTCTTCATTAAAGTATGCTGTTGTAGGATATAATTAAAATGCATGTCAGCTACAGTTAGTTGCAGAAGCAATTTAAAGCATATGTAACAAAAAAAAATAATTTTCACTTGAAAGTAGATGTTAGTAACATTGGAACTAAACAAAGATTCAGGAAAAAATCATGTTCCATCCTTTATTTAAAAGTGTGTAAAAGATTCCTTAAATTAAAAGTGTTTATCTTAATAAAATCACTGCTCAAATAGTTTGGAGGTAGAACAACATTTCAAGTTCTTTTTCCCCCTCCAGATGTTTACTATAAAAGCACTTTAATTTTTTTTTTCCAGAAAAGGGTAAAAACATGATACATACTTTAGGCCTTGCTAATTAAAATCTGAGAAGTCTGGGAAGAGGTTTAAATTGTACCTCGATAAAAACCCCCACCAGTGAGAAAGCTTCTCACTCAGTCAACAACTTTTATTGACTGAATACTGGTATGAGTTTGACCCTGAAGCATTCGCCCAACTTGTCCTGCAGGTCTCGAAGTGGTAGAACCAGAAGAATGGAGCACAGTTCGAGGATATTTAGCAGCAGTGGCTTGGGATATGGTTTGCTGAAAAGTAATAAGATACATCAAAACACTTCATGGTACAAAAGAATGACATTAAAATAGCTCTAAGTGAGCTGCAGTTTAAACAGAAAGACTTGCAACCCAGCAAACTGAAATACACTTCTCCAATTAAAAAAAAATGGTGTTACTTTAACAGAATGAGAAATTTTTTTCCTTCCTTATCTGTAATATACTTTTTAGAACAAAGTGCTAAACTTCCAGTTAACTAGGTACCCTAACCTTTTATCACTTCAATCTTATTTCAGGTTTAGTTTGTTGGGGTTTTTTTTCCAAATTGTTCAGAATTTTCCTCTGTAGTGCCAATTTAAGCATGCTACCATTCCTTTTGAAGTTCAGTATTTGCTATGAGGAAGTCTCTGAAAGGTCTCTGGTGTCTGAAAGGAATGGGTTTACATTTATTTAACAATTACTTTTCTCACAAAAAACCTAGCCACCTTACTGCAATAA